ATGTTATAGAAAGTTACTAAATACATAGAAATCAGAGCTGACACTGGATGAACTCTGAGCAGGTGGTAGAGGGAAGTAATTAATTACATTTCTTAGTTACATGCTCTATCCTAGTACCTTTAATGTATAAACAAATTAGAGCCTTTCATAGTGGTTTGAATGTACTTGTATTTTGCTGTTGCACAGTTCAAGCTGCAAATACTTGAACAAGTGAATGGGAATTTTCTTAAAATCCATTAAAATGTAAACGCCTATTTTGTCAGGCCTTAAGCCTTGCTGTTATGTTATTTTTGGGGAGAGTTGTCAGTGGTGGACTGAAGGTGAAACAAATGGCTACAACATGTATGTTGTACCTATGTGTGGTTCTCATTAACATCTAAATTCACCTAAGTAGAGTATATTATTCACTATCTTAAACTTTTTACCAGTGTAAGGTGGAAAACAAAGAAAATATACCGCTAAATTAGGATACAGTGACTGTATGAATCTAAAATTTGCTCCTGTTTTGAGAATAGTTTCAACTCCCTCTTTAGAAATATTTGTTTCTGTGTTTGGGGTGAAAAAATGATAAAAGTTTAATTTGCAGATCAGAGCAGCAGTGAGACAAATGAAGTTGAAATAGTTACAATTACTGTGAAATGTGCTACTTAAATTAACTGGGGACAGAAAGATCCAGTAAAGCAGATGTTCCCACTTTGTAAAAAGGACATTTCTAATTAATTAGAATCTGAAAAATAGTTTATTGAGAAATCCCTCCATGTTGGAGGAATGTCCCTCCAAGGAAGTTCTTTTTATACATTTGAATGAAAATATAAACTTTTTATTTTATAGCTTTGCTAAATATTTGCATTGTGCTTCCACCTTTTTTTTCTTTTTGATTGAGCCAAAACTCCTTTTTCTAGGCTAAATTGATCGATGTGTTTTGCCTTGTGTAAACTTCAGTTGAATGATAGTGGCAGTATTTTGAATTTTACACTTTCAGACTTCAAAGCAGCTTGTCATGTGATTTGTTATACTAACCACAAACTATGAAGCAATCAAAAATCTTGATGCATAATAAAACCAAGAAACTGCAGCATCTATGGTATCAAAGCCTCTGATGCAAGCCAGTGTATTATGATTCTGCGTAATGGACAAGCTTGAGTCAAGTGGTGCCTCACAGTTGAAGTTCTTCTATTTAAAGACTTTGAAAGAACAAGGGTAGGTTAAATTGTTGAGTTTACTATCTGAACTATATTGCAATACTCTAAAAGGAGTTTTTCCAAACAAACAAGTTTTCATATGTGTGTAAATGTAAAAAGGCTTAACAGATGGATACTGTTTCAGAAAATCTGGAGGAGTAAGGTGATGGAGAGGATGAGGGAATTTTGATTAGTCCTTTTATACTCATTTTTCAGGTGAAACAGGAAATCTTAAAGAGTAAGGTCTTTGGACAAAATATTTCTTCTGATGCTTTTCTCCTTTTCTGATCCTTTTCTCCCTTTAAAAAGGTGAAAGAATGAATTAATGTATTGGTCTAAACCAGCAGATAAATAATAAATGATCGGTGCTTGAATGCCCACTGCACTAACAGCTGATTCCTTGTTCTAGGTATAGATAATATATTCTGACTTAGATGTTTAATTGAAATTACTGCTGCCTGTTGCCCTTTTGTGTTATGGAGCTCCTTCAGATCAACTGAAAAGACCCAACTACATCATCCATACAAATCAACCATATAAATTCTTTTACTAGTACTTAATTACTTAAGTAATTTTAAATTACTGCTAATATAGGTGGTCAACATTGGTTTTTTTTGAATAGGACAAAAGTGAAACTAATGGTGCCAGTAGCATTAAAGTGAATCAGTCATGAAATCAGTGTTATGTAGGCCAGGTTCACTGCATGAATGTGGTAAGTGGCTTCACTATTGCACTTCTAAACCCCCTGTGGGGGATGTTCTCTGAAAGTGATCTGGTTTAAACTGGGATAGAAGATTTCTTTCTACTGTCTTCACTGCTCATTATGTTTTTAACATTGACCCCAAATAATTCTGTTTGATGTTAATGAATACGAGGTCATATTTGGATACTCTCATTAATCTGAGAAACAAAGCATGTATTTCTAAGACTGAAGAAAATCAGATGTTTCGGAAATGAGGAAAGAAAGACTAGAAATAATAACTCAAAGAAAGGCAGTAGAAATGTATTACAAAAGGTGGGTGTAGTTTGCAGCATGTCTGTACAGAAATTGCATGAGCAGAAAGTGTTTTGGACAAGTTCCAGATGTCCCCTTTGGGGGAGTTTTGGCCAGGCTTTTTGTATCTTATTGTGCCTGCTTCATGAACTGTAAAAGCAGCCCTGGTCTGGTTTTGTAAAATACTTATGCAGGAGTCCTTCAGTGTTCAAGAGGAGAGTCATTGTTCATGTCTTGAACCTGAAAAAGTTTGTGTTTTAAAAACTTGCATATTCAAACTTGCACTTTTGAACCTTCAGTCTACTACCTCACCCTCAAACCTCTGGGTCTTACAGATTTAGATCATTAAATCTATAACATTATAAAAAATAATGGTTTTACTACCATTCCCATTCAGAATTCTTAGAAGGGGTGGCAGACCCTATATTCACTAACACTAACAGTCTTGGTTGACACACTTTGCTACCTTAATTTGGACTTCAGATATTATTTTTCTGAATATGAAGAAAGATATTGAGGTGTTAGAGTGTGTTCCAAGAGGGATCCAGGGTGCTAGTCTTACATGGAGTGGTTGAGGCAGCTGAAAGTATTAGTCTGGAGAAAAGGAAGCTCATGCTGGGTGTTACTGCTCTCTACAAGTACCTGAAAGGAGGTTTAGCCATGTGGGATTCAGTCTGTTTCAATAACAAGTGACAGGACAAGATAAAACATCCTCAAGTTAAATCAGGATGTGTTTAGATTTGCTATTAGGGCAAATTTCTTCACTGGAAGGGTGGTCAAGCTTTGGAACAAGGCTGCACAGGGAAGTGGAATCACCATCCCTGGAGGTACTTAAAAGGTGTGTGATGTGACCCTTGGGGACATGGTGTAGTGTTGGGTTAATGGTTGGACTCAATGATCTTAGAGCTTAAATTGAAGCTTAATGTACTTAAATAATGTTCTCTGGTGCACTCCTTTGTAGCGGTAGATTGTCTGAGACAGACTGTTGTTGTTTTTTATTTTGGGAGTTAAAAAAGCAAAGACAGAATCTTGTTAGAATGCTTTAGTTTTTGCAGACTGAGGAGTTTTCAGAAGCACTAAATGTGTAGAAAGCTGGCAGTGAGAGATGTGGGCGTAAGAAAAACATTTCACATAGAAACAAGTGAGCTGGTATCCAATATATATAATGCTGATATCATGCACTGATACATGGTTCTAGTTTTGAATAGAGAATGTCCCTGTGGGGTATAACTGACTATTGTAAATTTCATATCCAAATAATCCAAATAGGATTAATTCCTAGGATCAGCATCATCCCATTGTTCAGAAGATGCAGCATTCATAAACATTTGCACCCATTTATGATGGGTGTAATGCATACTTCTTGAAACCAACATTCTTCTGGATGGTTCATGTCTAAGTAAGTGCTGCATTCTCCAGGGGATGATGATAGTTTCTCAGTTTTCCTTTTCAGATTTTAAAGTTTTCAGGACCTGGGGGTGCTGCTCAGCAGCTGACTGAATATGTGTGCCCAGTTGGCCAAGAAGGCCAATGGCACCTGGCCTGTATCAGAAATAGAGCAGGGCTGTAGTTGTCCCTCTGCTCTCTGCATGGGTGAGGGCACACATTGAGTATTGCATCCAGTTCTGGGCCCCTCATTGCAAGAGAGACATTGAGGTGCTGGAGTTAATTAATTAATTAATTCCACTGTCCAGAGATAGGCAGTGGAGCTGGTGAGGAGTCCAGAGAGACTAAGGCTTACGAGGCACTCCTTGTAAGAGGAGTGGCACGCCTCATAAGGTGGGGATACAGGAGTTGTTCAGTCACAAGAGAAGCTTCGGAGGAGTCATCCTCTCTAAAGCTACCTGAAATGAGATTGTAGCAAGGTGGAGATCAACCTCTTCTACCAATCAACAGGACAAGAGGAAATGGCCTTAAATTGTACAAGGAGACACTCAGATTGGACATCAAGAGCAATTTTTTCACTGCAAGGATGGTTAAGCATTGGAAGAGGCTGCCCTGGGAGGTGGCAGGGTCACCATCTGTGGAGGTGTTCAAGACATGACTGGATGAGGCACCTAGTTCTGTGATTTAGTCGTCACAAGGTGGTGTTTGGTTTGACTCAATGATCTTGGAGGTCCATCCTAATCTAATAATTCTATCATTCTGTAGTCTGTCACCAGTTGGTTTGGTCTCTGTTCTGAAGCATGCAAATCACAGAATGCAAAAATAGCTCCGCAGCAGCATGTAAAGCAGGGTTTTCCATATCAAGGTCAGGTAATTCCTTATGTTTGCAAGCATGGTGGGAAGGAGCTAGTCAAGATTGAAACATGGCTAACATGGCATTGAAAAAGCACTTCAACTAGACTGTCCGTGCAAACATTCCGATCAATAGCATTCTTTTAAAATTTTTTAGATTTATTTCTGCCTTGGAGAAAATATAGGTATGTTTGTTTTATAAAATTTGCACAGGTAAAAAGCTGAGAAAATTGCTTTAATTGACTTCTTTATTTTTTTTTTTAAATTTTCCAATTGAAAGTAGGGATAAACAAAAGTTCATATCAATACACACCACTCAAGAATTTTAAGGTTTTTGCTCAACTGAAATAACTGGAATATGGGCTCTGCAAAGATATTTTATTTTGTTTTGTTCTAATTAATTTGAAATCCTGAGGAACTGATGCATATCACTTTTTTGTTCTTCTGAACTTCTTGCATATTCATCATCCTTTAGATATGTGGCTGTTTCCATGGTTTAGGAAGTGCTATGTTATATACAATTCACAATGGAGCTCTTCATCTTTATAGATGCCATATTTAGAGTATGTTTCTTTTATGTTTGCTAGAGTGATGCCATGGCATCATCAGGACTCTTCTTCAAAGATGGCAAAAAGCGCATTGATTACATCTTGGTCTACAAGAAATCAAGCCCACAGGTAGAGAAAAGAAGCACATTTGAGAAGAATTTGAGAGCAGAAGGGCTTATGTTAGAACGGGAGGTGAGTCCTGTAGCTTATGTGGCATAAAAAAAGCCTTTTATTATACCATCCTACTTTACTGAACTGATAAAAGATTCCAGACAAAACTACAAGCCTTTCCAGGCAGTTCTCATCATCTGCTTAACTATATTAAACTAATAAGAAGAATAGTTTGATAGTGTATTTTAAAATGATTTGGAGATACATGCTTGTACACAGAAGTGTCATGCAGTACAGGGGGAGAAGTTCCAGCTTCTCATGCTTGCAGAACAGAAGCAGCTTCGGTAACCCATGTTGTTGCTTTAATGCATATCCTCTATGTCTTTCAGCAGAATGCTTGATGTTAAATGTCTCATTGTTTCTCAAGGGGTTAAGGTTGTCACTATTCTGGTTAATCTGTGGCTAGTAATAGTAGTATTAATAAAAAATGAAAGAAAATGGAGCCAGGGAAACATTGCCTTGGATTTTTGCTGTCTCATGAATGACCTGCAGAGCAGGTATATATTTACTCTATTCTGATGTAAGCTCCTATTGTTCATGTGTCTTTTGTCTTGATTTTTCATCTCAGTAGAATTGTAATACGTGTTCTGGGTTTAAGCAATGAGCTTGCAAGATATAGCTCACAATATAGCATGTTAAATATTCATAAATAGCTAGCCTGACTAAAATTTGGTTTTAAGACTTTTAAGAATTGTTGCAGTATGGTAATAAAAACAGCTGATTTTGTTCCAGTTTAAATAAATAGAGCTTTTGTCAGTTCAGAATTACTGACATTCAGAAACAAATGGTTTTATAAGTTCTGAATTATTTTGTTTTCCACAAGCATTGTATTTTATGCACAACTTTCAAGAAAGTAAAATATTTGAAGTAGTACTATGGAACTGTGATATGATTTATGGAACGGGTAGGTAAAATTGGCAACATTTTAAGTTTACCTGCATTTTCTTTTACCTTTACTTACCAAACCTTACAAAGTCAGGCTTTTGGAGGCTTTAATCGGACACAATTCAACTATCAAAATATTTAGTTATAGAATCTCAAGCAAATACATCTGGGAAGAGTGTGGGGAACTGAAGTTCACAAGAGAAGGTGAATATAGAAATCTGTAAGGCTGAAACTATTTTTTTACGTATAAATAAATTAATGATGAAAAACATTTGTGTAGAGTACACATTGAAATTCGAACATCCCAGTTCATACACATTTAAAAATTCCCAGCAGGTAACTCAATTGCTCAACCATTCCCTTGAGTTACCATTTTCGCAACCTGGAGCCTTCTCTCATCTGTTCTCATGCCTCTAGCACTGACCACACTTCTCCTTTAATGGGAGACACAGAATGGTCTTCAATCTACTTATCTAAGGTGATTTTTTTGAGATTTAAAATTAATTCCATGTTAAATTTATTCCATGTAAAAAGGTGCTGCATAAAGTCTTTACTTAAGTTCATGACCACAGATCTTTCCCTACAGATGCCTTTTGTCCCACTTGTCTACACATACTGCAGAGTCTGTAAGCGAGAAAGGTTACTGATTTTCCTTTGTCTAGAAGAGCATTTATTTTCAGAGTTGCATGCCCAACTCAGGCCTAAAATCAGAATTTGACCCTGAAGAATGCTTCTGGAAGGGTGATTGCTGTAGGTTTAAATTATTAATATGTATTTGCATGTTACTGCTCTTTACAGCCAGCTGTTACCAACAGTGATATCATGTTTGTTAAAATTCACTGTCCGTGGGAGACATTGTGCAAGTATGCAGAAAGAATGAACATCAGGATGCCTTTCAGGTATTGTGGAAACTATTTTAAGAAACCTATGATTTAGTGCTTAATATTGAAAGTTTGTCACTTACTCAAGTCTAAAAGTGCAGTCTTTACTGCTCTGTAGCCAGGAGTGCTCATATTTATTTTAGTGATGGGATAGGGAGAGAGGAGAAACAAATAAGAAGTCCTGTTCTTTCCTCATTTTTACACAATACTATGTGTTACTTGTTTTCAGACTTGCCTTTTACATCAGATTGAGCATATGTCTTTTAGAAAACATATGTCTTTTAGAAACAATGTCACACATTGTTTTGGGTGTTCTTGGCAGAATTTCAGATATTCTCCATCTGAGCTTGAGTGTCCTCCATGATTTTAGGGTTTTTCTGGAGTCTTATTGAAAGGCAGGTGAAATGAGAGAAAGTGTCTTCCATGTCTCCAATATAATGCATATTGTCACAATTTGAGTAAACTGAGGTCCAGTAACTTTCTTTAGGCAGAATAATGGCCTGAACTGACTTCCTTGTCTGAATGCAAAACAAGTTCTATTGTATTAACAAATTAATATTTGTTATTAATTTGTGGGACAGGTTAATATTTTCTGCAACAATACTTAAGTCTTTAAAGGAGAAAATGTGCCTTTTCAAATTGATTAATAATGCTCTTGGAGAAGAGCATATTGTGTGCATGAGTTCAAGTGGTAACCAGGTGCCAAAGTTGTGTGAGCCATGGAAAATGCCCTTGCCAAATGCTCAGTCTTTTATGCTATGACACTGTGGTCTCCTGCATTGGTCCTAAGACAGAAACAGTGATTGTGAATCATCATTGCTCAAATCTTGCTCCACATACCCAGTTCTGTAGTGAATTTTCACATCATCCCATTAAGCCTTCAAAGGCCTTACCATAAAAAATGTTTTAGTAATAGTCATCTTCCGTATGTTTAAAAATATTATTATAGTGCTATTTGAGTTTATCTAGTTCAAAAAATACTTGCCAGTATATTAAGTATAGAAGTGTTTATGTATGGGCATACAGACATAAATAATCAAAATTGCAATTAAAAATTATTTCTTCCTCCTTTTGATACATTACTTCACAAAATTGTGTTTTAGCAATGGGTTTGAATTCTTCATAATTGTAGTTACTTGATAGATCTATAGTGCTCTCAGGACAAAAAAGGCTGGCTTTTGCAATCCTGATTTATTTGGAAGACATTCTAAATCATGTTTGTTTGTTATATTATTAATGCCATGTAAATATATTCTCTTATTGTTTCCCCCAAAGGGTCTTTGTTGCTTTGGCTTCTTTTTATCCAATTAATTTCAGTAAACCAAAAATAGATGAAATACTAAATTTTCCAATTTCACCTTTTTGGTAGTTTTGCTGTACAATGAAATACATACATTTGGGAAGATATTTTTCCACCTCTACCTCCATAATAGAACTGTGAGAAATAGTAAATTGGTCAACATTTTTGTTATCTTTAAAAAGATTTTAATAGGTATTTAAATGAAATTGCAGTCTAGAACTTGTGTGACTATTGTAGTATATTTCTTCAATTCCTTTACCTTTTCAAACAGAAAACTCGACACAATTCTGTTGCAAACACAAGCTGGATGTAGCAGAATTGAGGAATGGTCTGCCCTGCTTTGCCAGCAGCCTTTCCAAAGTGTCCCCTACAGGAGATGAGCAGTTTTTCATGATACCTTCCTTCTCTATAGAAGGCTGTGCTTTAGAAACTTGCTGAGACACAGTTCAAGTCTTTGTCTTTGTTCATATCTGCCCAGATGGCTTTTTCATGGATGCAGAAATATAAACCTGCACTCCTGTAACAACATCCTGTGACCACACATTTTATAATTTAATTGCATATTCTGTTAAGAGCAATTGTGTTTGAAGTATTGAACTTGCTTTTTTAAATGAAATGATTCCTACCTGGATGGTGTATATTGTTTTTCTGAGGTAACCATTCAATGGACAAAGGAACCTCAAATGCTGCAATTCTCCCACAATTAGTGATTACTCAGTGAACTAGAGCATCTTCCTCCCAAAAAGTTTTAGGTCATCCTTAGGTAGATTTAAGTAAGCCTAAGGGGAAAAGAGAGTTGGACTTGATGATCTTTATGCATCCCTTCTTACTTGAGATACTCTGTAATTCTAAAAAGCAAATTATTTCTCATTTATCTGTTTCATCAGTGTTTTCTGACTGGTTCTAGTACAAAGTTAAAGATGACAGACAACCTTCCCTGCAATACTTTAATGCAGTATACCTATTTGCTCTTGCACAGTCTTGCAAAATTTTGACTTTTAATTATGGTCACTAAAATATGCCATATGTCAATATCATATATGAATAATACATGAAGAATTCAATTCAAACTTTTTAGTTTCATTTTGCTCAATCCTGGAATCTAAACAAAATCAACAGAATTATTATCACACCGGTTACTTGTCTCTGTTTCTGAAAAGTAAAAATACATTTGAGATTCACCCACACCCCAGAACTGTTTTAGCATGGTATTATACCAAAATGTGTTGACAGATATATAATATGTATCATATATGTAATATAGATGGAATCTCATTGTGTCAATTGCAGAATGAAATTTTTCTGAAATTTCAATAGACAGTGTGTAGTAATCATTACTGTCTTGTATATATGGCTGACTTTGCCATGCTGCTTTATTTGGAAGCATATGTACATGGTTTCGTACCAGGTTTGTGTAAGCATCAAAGCTAGGTCATGACTGAGTTATGATTTTTTAACTTTCATGGGTATTTTTTTTAAGTATGTGGTCTGTCGGTAGAAATAAAACTATATCTGTTTCTAGAATTGAGGCAAAGCTTTAATTTTGTCTACAAGTATCTTGCAACTCATAATTATTATTGTTTGTAGTTAATAAGTTATTTGTAACAGCTGAACTGTTACATCTGGGCAAAACAGCTAAGGGTAATTAAGGGTTTTGTTAAAAAAAAGTCTGAAAACCCTTTAATACCTTTCATCGCTTCATTTACAATGCTGCCTAGCAGTACCAAGTGTCAGGCTGCCAACAGTCTGCAGATTGGTAGATACATAATTTTCAGGTGGCCACATATTTTCCAGGCAAGGAGTCTTTCACCCTCTTTTTAAGGTATTAATTTCAGTGGATCTTCAATGTAAGTAATGTAATTTTATGAATCTCACATGCTGCCCAGGTGGGCAGTTGCAGATCTTCCTAACTCCTGAGGAATCTGGGAATCTGCAACATCAAGGCTCTTTTTGTGGTTGAAATGTGATGTGAAATTAAAGGAGGAGGCCAAACAAAAAGCCTGAAACTAGGTGTGGGAAATATAAACCATGTAGCAAATATGTCTCCATTTCGTTTCAAAATAACTGTTCTGAGAAGACTCTACTGGGAATTTCTGGTCTTGTTTCTCTAATTGGCAAAGGGTGGGGAGAAAAGAACTGTTAAGTGACTTATTGATCAGTTATCATTTTTGTCAGTAGCTACAAATCTGTTATTTTAGAACAAACTTGAAAAATGTGAAACTATGTTATTGTAATGACTTATTCTATTTCACTTGCCTTTTTAAAAGTTTTTTCATGTTTTTGTCTATGAAAATGCATGTTTTAAAATGTATAGCATTCTTTTGTAACATGTATGTCCTTTTCAACTATGTCCTACTTGATTAATCTCAGCTGATTTTTTGCTGTTCTTTCAGGAAAAAATGTTATTACACTGACTGGAGGAGCAAAACCATGGGCAGGTTGGTGGGTGATGTGTAGCTTCTAATTTTGTCAGATAGTGACCCTGCTAAAGAAAACCCATTTGCAGTTGTAAATTTATCCGTGACACTTGGAAAATTAGATTATTTTCCTGAAAACTCAAAATATGTCAGCTCAAAGTGCTAAAATATTCATCTGCAACAAGGTGCAGTTCTTTAAAGCTTTGCCAGTTGTCATTTTAGAAATGTAAAAATGTTTATGCCAGGGAAACAAACAAAAAAAGAGACCTTATCTTTGCAGTAAGGATTTAATACTGCATCTACCTCTGCCCTTATATCTGCTGACACCAAGGCATACCTCTTTAGCATGAAGGATGCTTTTGAGTGTGTGCCTCAGATTCTGGCAGTCAGCTACTTCCTTAGATATGCAAACATACTTTTTCTCCTGTGTGTCGTCGTGATCAGGAACAAATTAATGCCGCATGCTGAAGGCTGCTTTGAATTTTTGTTTGCTAGCTGAGAGAGTAACTTGCAAAACTCACTTTTAGCTAGCTGGTGCTGCTTGTGGTGTTTTTGTCAGCCAGAAGAAGGGTACAAGAGCCTGTAGGGGCAGGGGAAAGGAGCCTGGGAGTGCTAGGAAATGAGAATGGGGGACACTGAGCTGTAGTTACTCCCCATCCCTTTAGTCAGACATAATTATGTCTTGTAAATCCTAATCCCTAGCAGAAAAGATACCTGACAGTATTTCACATGAGGGAATTCTCCTGAAAGAGTTCCCCATCACAGGTTTTCTTGGGATGGATCTTGAGATCACTTTTGATTTAGGTTCTCCTATTGTCACTTAAGATGGTAAAGAACTCTCATTTCTGTGGAGCAATTTAGAGAGTCTCATGATAACAATTTCCAAGACGATCAGCTAACAACAGCAGAATGTTGAATGGTAAAGTGAGAAAACTTTAAACATATGAGCTGATAACATATGTTGAAGTAAACCAATTTATAACATAGATTTACAACTGCATTTTGTTCTCTTCCCAGTTCGCATACTTGCTCCATTTTAGCATGCATTATGAAAAGTCTAAGTGAAATGCTTGCAATAAAAGGCAGAATCAACAAGCTTTACTTCAAAATTGTCTTGTTTTGTCTATAATCCATCTAGTGGGTCCTGGATATTACATAAATTTTGTTTTCCTTTTTTAGAAGGAAAAATGTCTGAAAGATGCAACTGAAATTGCACAGTACCTGTGAATTGAGTAATGAGTAATTTCCATGCCAGATTGATTTTGTATTGAGATAAATGCTTTTACTTGTGATTTACTTTGTGAGAATTTGGGTATAAATATTTTTATGTGTATATTTTCTGGCACTTTATAAAATTCAGTGCACAGAGGAATTGTGTGAAACAAAAGAAATATAGAAAGAAGCTATATTTAAAGTTGAAAGCTAACTCTAAAATTCCTGACATACACATCACATGCATACTTCTACAACTGTCATTGTTACCTTGCATCTTGCAACTTTTCAAATTTTACTGCTTCCCGGTAGTTTATTTAATCTCTTGTTAAAATTTCTAAGTTAAATAGTTTATATGAGCTACATGAAGAAGTATATTAAAATTCTTGTATACCAAAATATTAAGCTTATAAATTTTCTATGATTTAAGACTGCAAAGTATTCTAGTATAATTCTAGTATATTAGACCTGCTGTACACTTCTTTAACTTTATTGACACGGTTATAGGTAGATATGTATCTATAAATGTTCTTTAAAAGATCTGCAAAAGATTATTAGGTGCATTAATGAAAGGACAAGAAAAATGTAATACTTAATTTCTTTTATGTGGTATCTATGTGGTCTGTTTATTTACACACCTTTAAAAATCCCTTAACATTGTATTTAATTCTAAGAAGCTTGTTTTCTGTCCATTGAATCACACTATAGAAATAAATCTGTCATATTCATTATGAGCAATATTTGGAAAGCCTTGCTCTTCCCAAAAGAAATATACCTATAAATAGGGTTGGTATCAAAAATTGTCTGAGCTCTCAGATTGAACACTGAATAATCTAGTAAGACTGTCTTGTAATTGCCACATTGGACCTGCTGATTTCATGCTGGTAAAGGATGGCATCAAGGAAAAGAAAATGAAAATATATTTGTCTTGTATGCAGCTACACTCTGCCCACTGAAATGTTAAAATCACTTAATACTTCTAAAAATAGAGAACTGAAAATGACTTTGTTCAGCGCCTGACCTGCAGTTAGTTTGCTTTGCAAAAGGACTTAAAATCTTTGGGATTTCAGTCTGCACACTGAAGTGAAATTGTTGATATCATTCCAGTAAACAAAGGTATGATAATTTTCTTTTTTTAGTGATGGTTGTGTCTGTATGTTGGATCTGTCAACACTGACGTGTTTCCTATTACATGGAAACACACTGAGCCCAGGTAACTTGGTGGCACGTAGCTGGCACTTGTGGCCAGTCTCAAGAGACACAAACATCAAGCAAACTGCTTGGTGATTGTTGCTGTCAAAGCTGCCTAACGTGATTGGTGAAGCTGCTTAATTCTGGTATCTCATTCCATGAGTTTGATCAGATAATGCTAAAATCATCCATATACTGTGTTCCTTTGCATTGTAGTCTGTTGAGTAAACATAATCTGCAAGGATTTTTGGGTGAGCTTGTTCTGCAAAAAAAGACTAACCAACCAAATAAATCAGATGCGTAAAACTGAGAATGGGAGTCGAGAAAAGCTGAAATTACAAGTGTCTTCATAAAATATTAAATTGTATAGCTAAGAATGAAATGCACATGCATTTCAAGAGTGCTGTTCCTTGGTTTGAGGTGTTCCTGTAGCACCAGCTGGAGTGGTTTCGGTAAAAGCGTACATGAAGCAGTATCCCATAACATTGCAGCACCATTCCACTGGGACATTTTTTATCTCCTTGCCTGAGCTACTGCCTTCCCCAGAGCAGTTCTCTCTGCTTTTACTGTAGCTAAGTAGGCTACATTGAACAGATTAAGTCAGGAATCTGTTTAAACTGCTAGTTTAAACCTAGAAAGCCGCTCTGAGTAAAGATGCTAATACTTAGTCCTATGATTTAGGCAAAAATTTTGTGTTTAAAGGCAAGCTCCATGAAAACTCAGTTTCTTCTTCAACAGTAAAATGACCTAAAAATGGCTCTCTTGTATCATCTTTATACGTTACTGAGTTGCAATATTCTATGCTATCTACCTATGCTATCTAATACTAAAGGCATTACATTTTTTCTCAGAAGAGAAACTGCAACTGTAATGGGGACACAAGCATTAATTTATTCCAATGCTGCTTTTCATGTTAAAAGAAGCAGTCATGAATTTTAAACAAGAGCTGTCTTTTTTAACATAATATTTATCAACTTTTTTTTAGATTTTTGTATGGGAGAAGTGATCAAGACTTCTCTCATAACCAATTTTAAAGCACTTTCATAATGAAAAAATCTGAAACTAGATGCATTGTTTTTCTTTTCTTCCTGATGCATCTGCGTATTTTCCTCATTAAAAAAAAATTCTGGATTTCGACTAAGAAGTCAGCAAGTGTACAACAGAAAAAAGGGTTCAAGACAATAAAGGGGAAACTGCGTTTATATAAACTGTACTAAGAGAGCTTCTGCTGGAACTAATAAAGATAATCAACTCACTAAGGTATTATTAAGAAGACACTTAAGGAATCCACCAGCCTCTGTACTGTGTTCTGTGTTCCAATATCATGAACATATTATGTTCTTTGGCTTACAGTGGTTGGTGTTGAACACAAGTGGTGTCCCTCAAGTGCAGTATCAGCTACAATACAGTGTGCACCAATATCTTGCAATATATAGCAGGAAGAAAATTTTGAGAATTTTAAATGTAACTGTAAAATCCTTCTCCCACATTTGGCTGAAATTTCTATCTGATACTGTGTGAAATAGGGGTTTTCTGATTTTGTTGATGTTGATAATAAGAAGTACATTTTCATAAGGGTTACTTTGTTGCATGAGAGCAATTTACCACATCATCACTTATTAGTCTATACTAGGAACATTATGAAAATAGGTGCGTTCACATTATGAAATATTATTGGCATTATGAAATGTGTAGGTGTGCTGCTTCTTAGCACAGGCAATGAAGTATTCACCTCAAAGAAAAGAATTTGTTGCTTAGCTTTACACTTCTTGTGGGTGTAAAATATATATGCTTTATATATCATGCATACATATTCATTGAGTAGAACCTGAATTCCACCGAAAAAAATACTATTTGGGGAATGTTTTTCTCAAATTTAGGCTTTTTCTGAGTCTCTGATGTGCTTACTGTGTCATGATATAGCACATTTAATTTGAGATCTACTCCTTAAATAACCATGTTGCATTGCAATTGAATATGAAAAGATATGGGTCAGCAAGGAGGGCAAAATTGAATTTGCTCACTTAAAAAATTAACTGCACTTGACTGGATTTACACATGTATGAATGATGTCCTGAGACATCATTTGGGCAACGTGCCGTTAGAGAAAAAAACCATTTATGTTGCCAGTATGTAATTTAATTGAAGATACAGCATTGATGTTCTGTTTGTATTTTGTAGTATCCATTTTTAGGAATCTGGAGGAAGCCATATTTAGGAGTTTTCTTGTCTAAATACTGCATAACCATTTTAGCGTAACATATCCTTTATTTTATTTGATATTTAGGTATACTGTTGTATATTTCATAAGGCAATATCAGCTCTTGGATTTTTAAGAAAATTTTGCAGGGGAAAACTTTATTGCAATCAGAAAACCATAATCGGATCCTTAGCACTCTCAAATATACTTAAAAAATTTATTAATTTTAGTGTCCATGTTGCCAGGCAAGAGAGTGGGGAGGAGTTTCACTTGCTTTGTTCAGTGCAGCTGGGTATGTTCTTGACTAAAGCATAAGCACCTACAGTTCTGCCAGATTAACTACTTTGGAAAATTAATTTCTGCAGACTCAATACCACAGTCCCATTTTGAGCTATAAGCTCACTAATTTTAGGATGAGTTTTACTCGTGTAAAGTGTTCAAGATGGATTGCAAATGAATATTGTTCATTTTGCCTTTTGACTCTTTCTTTTCTTTTGTTTACTTAATGTGGAAGTTTCCTGCTTTCATTTAATTTCATTTCTAGTACGATGTCAATAAATATGCAGTGCCGGTGATAGAAATGATGACGAAATGAGAGCGTGTGAATCTGACTTCTTCTTGTCTCAGTTTGCAGAGGAACATTAGAGAGCTGAAAAGCTGGTTGCCCAGAAATCCCATGAAGCTGGATAAGGAGGCCCTGCCTGATCTGGAGGAGACAGATTGCTACACAGCCCCCTTCAGCCGCGCACGCATCCACCAGTGAGTGCTGGGGTGGGCAGGCAGCGTCAGGCACCACAAGGGTTTCTGTTCCTCACTTCTGAGCAAGGGCCAGAGAGGGAGCTGCTGACAGATGGTCACTGGCAGTACCAAGTATCATATTTGATTTTATTCTCTTCAAGTGAAAATCTGCTCTTTGTTACTTGCTATTTGATGGTCACTCAGTAACACAATATGAAATTTGATGGAAAGATGAATGTTTCCATTTTAGTTTAGAAGATGTTTGGTTTTTTGTTCCCTTACATTACAAAATGCAAATACTTGCTCAAGTTTTCTGTGCTTATTACTTACTTTACGTAGGCAAAAACCAGTTGAGATTTGGAACACCAGAAGCGAGCTAAGACCAGTGATAATTTTCTTTTTCTCTCTTACCAGATCTGCATTTAAAAAGATCTATTGCCTCTGAAAATACAAATATATATAGAACAAAACTATATGTGTTCAAATCAGCATGTTGATAATGCTATATTTAAAATGTGACATAAATTTTTTTCAGTACCTAAAAAGTTAGGTTTTAAAATTCTGTTTCTTAATTTTAAAGTTATTTTGTGATAACTGTTTTAGAAGATAAAAGTTAATTTAAAATAGAAGTATGAATTAGGATAAACAGGATTTTTCCACTCAGTAAAGAACCTAAATGGTAGTGAACTGACTTTACCCCAGAAAAACAGAGTAATTTCATTATAGACTCAAATTTTTTTTTTTTCCCAGTAATTTACCATACTGCACGGGATCAATCCCCTGGTTCTGGTGTTTTTTTCTCAATCAGCTCAGCTGATTTAATGAATTGTAGTAGCAACTTTTGGCACAGCTGAGCAGGAAGAAGCCCCTGCATATCAGATTTCCCGCATCCAGAATGGAGCCATCTGGCCAAGGCTGCTTTACTTGGCTCCATCCTGGGATCCTCTAAGGGAAAATGGTTGTGGAGTTGCTTCGCAGTGTGTGGATTTGGTTTTTTTTAATAGTAATTTTGGTGGTTCCAGTGCACAGGCAACTGTCAACTCATAAGTAATTTGAATTTAAGGCTACCACTGTTACTGAAGATCTTTATTTAATTAATTATATCCAGAACAGAAATTAACTAGATAGTAGGTTATTTTTGGTTTAATTTGTGATAAGGATAACTTCATTGGACCTGCTGTAACAGTGTATAACCTTATGTTTAAGGAATGTAAACCTCCACTAAATCATTGTAAAAAAAAAAAAGCAAAAACACTTGAACAGCTATGTTTCAACGTGTGTGCATTGTTATGAATATTGAGACATTCATTATTTTAATAGTTTTACGATAAACAACAAAGACAGCTTCTTCAGCAATTCCACAAGAAGTAGAATTGTGCATCATGTGCTACAGAGAACTAAGTATGAAGATGGAAAATCCAAAATGGGTGAGTATGCTACATTTTTTTACCTAACCCAAAGCTATAAAATTGTTCATCTTTAATTGTCTGGAAAAATACCATTTGAATAAACTCAATTAATTTTTTTTCCTATTCTTGAAATCTTTCCTTTCACACAGTAACAGAATTGAAACAATGTCCCATCATTTTCTACCTAAATATTTCAGTGAAAATTTGCAGTATTTTTCACTTAATTACTCATTCATTAAAATAAAACGGAGAGATTATTGTAATTTTACACTATTGAGAGCCACAGTAAGGGTTACATCTACCTCAGAAAGCTGAAAATGTTTTCAAGGACTGATCCTAGTACTTCAGCTATTGTCCATCAGTTTCAGTCCAGTAGAATCAATGTGTGCTACACTTGATTTATTTGAGATGTCTGTGTAGCTCAGAGACAGCTGATCTAAGACTGAATTTGCTTTATATCAACATTCATAATGCAGTGTTAGTTTTTAGAAGGTCAAACTATCCATTTTCATTTTCAATGACCAGGGAATGTATGCATGATTTTCTGTATTTTCTGCAGGAATTCAATTAAAGATTTAACATGCAGAGGCTTGGGTGATTCCAGTTACAGAAAACTGTTTCTTGAGTTTCTGAACAAAAGTGGTAGTAAGAAAAACAGGTAGAATAAATGTTCATATCTAGCACCTTTGAAGTTGATGATGGGAAATTTCATGATAAGATTAGTTTAGTATAATTTGTATATTTTTAGAGACCAATCTGTGTTCCACCATATGTACCTGTTTCTTGGGAAACTTTTGGCTACAGATTTGCTCTTAAAGGCTATTGAATCTTTTTGTTGTACCTATCAATGGTTATTTATCTTTTTCAAGTTTTGTAATGTGCTGTGCTAGTACAACAAATCTGGGCTTAGGAAGACTCTAGGAACTGATCCAAAATGCAGTAGTCAGTCTGGTACAGAGCACTGCTCTGATATGCAATTTTCAGCTGGCTTATATTTAAAAATACCAGGGTTCAGCTGGTAGCTAAATAGATACCTAATAGCTTTTAACCCTGCAGGAGTTTCACTGCCTCAAGGATTGTCTATCCATACCACTCTATCAGATCATCTGGTCACCCATAAAATCTGAATTATATGTCCTGAGGAATACAGTGTGAATGTAACTATTTTCTCACAATCAATTTGGTACAAGCACTCAGCCCTGAGGGAAAGTTTTCAGGCTTTGGCAAGTTGCTCTTTAGTTTGACAGAGCCAGGAATCTGAAAGCATCAGCAGTACCTGCTGAAGTAGTTGGTGGGGTTATTGATTGTCATCTTCAGCAGCATTCTTATCATTTAACACTAAGTTACATTCTCCAAATGTGACTTGAAAAATGTGTATGAAAAATTTATATCGGAGCTAATGCTTTTTTGTTTTTTTTAGGTATTAATAGGCTACTAAATAATGGCACATATGAAGCAGCATTTCCACCACATGAGGTAACCTGGTTAATTTGATTTTTAGTTTCATATTTAGATTAAAGCTTCCACTAGTGGTTTGGGATCTTACTTTAATTCTGTCCTGCAAACTTTTCATTTCATATTGTAATTTGTCAATGCTTCTTTTATTTATAGCTTTTACTTTGATATTGGCTTTTAAAATTTTCCAAATTTTGGATAATTTGGATATTATAATAACATCCTGGAACATTTTCTGGTTTGACTAGGATATTATAATTATTTTCTGGTTTTTATGAACTCTACATTTCCTGTTGAGTTCTTAAGGAGAGTATCAGTGGTTCCAAATTGTTCCAATTAGTTGTATTTAATTATTGTTACTTGCTACCTACAAAAGGATTTGTTTTTCTAATAGCTTGGCCACTTGATCACAGTTAGAGAGACTGCATAATTATTTCCTGTTTACTATTTTCGGAATACTTCTGGGTAATTTCTAATACACACTGAGACTGTTCTTTAGAGATGGTTCTCAAAAAGACTATTCAGGCTGTTGAAGGAGCTGGATTTGGTTTCTATTGTTTTACTCATGTTTCCCTGTGAAGTGTCTGCAGATGTCTATTAGGGAAGTCTTCATAGTAAGAAAAAATCAGAGGAGTTGTGGATTTCTCAGGATCTTTCCCCCTCAGGGAAATCTACAGGGCTCTCCCCTGGAGAGACTTACCATAGAGTCTCTCTACACCTGGGCAGGGGGAAAAGACTTCCCCATGGAGTCTTGCACAACACTGATCCATCCCAATTCCCATCCCCATTTGTCCCAACTTCCCCTGGTTTCTCCTTTCCCTGTTTCCTCAGTGGCTGGGATACCCCTGTGACCAGCCCCTTCTTCCCTTGGTAGCACCCCCATAGGCCCCCTCATAATAGCCTTGTGCAGAGCACCTGGTTGGTCTTTTGTCCCTGGTTCCTCTTTGGTGTGCTAAAATGAACCTTGCTGGAACTGACCCTACAGAAGGCCCTCCTGCCTCTCTTGGCTGGGCCAGCTGTGGTGAGTGTGGGGTGTGGACTTGGCTGCCTAGCCTGAATGCTCCCCAAGCAGCTTTTCCACAGGAGATGCTCACTGGGCAATGAGATAGAGGTAGCACCAACCACCATCTAAACCCCACACTGCTACACTTGACAATGCTTTTTCCACTAGTTCAAAACTCTACTGAAGACTGGAAACCCACAAAATGAACTAAAAACCTGTGTTTGACTTAAGAGGGTTTTGAGAAAACTCTCTTATGTTGAAAAGAAGAAGCAAATCACACATTTCAGTCCTTCAAATGCTCTCAGGTGTCACAGACATATTTTCTGAAAAATCCTTTCGCTAGGATCTTTTCTCCTGAGAAGCTGGGAAGCTTCAGCTTCTCCATGTTTTGCTACTTTGGAATGTTATTTGGAGAATTGTTTACCCAGCATGTGAATTGTTTTTACTTGATGACCAATGGCAGCCAGCTTTGTTAAGGCTGTGAGCAATCACAAGATTTTATTATTCATTCCTGCCTTGGTAACCTTCTGAGGTCTCCTCTCTCTTTCTTTAGTATAGTTTTAATATATAATTTTCTTTTAATATCTATAATAAAATAATAAAGCCTTCTGAAACATGGAGTCAAGATTCTCATCTCTTCCCTTGTTGGGGTTGTCTGCAAATTCCACACTCAGGAACATGGTGGTTGCAGCTCTGAACTCTGGGTGTTTCAGCTGAATATTGTGACTTGGTTTCATATTTCAAAGGCTTTACAAATGGCTGGGAGTATTTTTTTAATTATTAAATACTTTCGTTTTAATAATTAATTACTAGGAAGTCAGAGAAGGAGTATTTTAGATAAATAATGTAACATCATTGTTAATGCTTCAGCTGTGCTTTACTGACTTCAGGGAAAAGCTGGCTCTACTACCATAAAAACCTGTGAAGCTTTCTCTGGCATCAAAGCCATGCTGTCATATCCATTTTACATGTTCCTTTGTTATGGCATAAGCTACTGTTTCCACATCTCAGTTAAAATTAGTGAAATCATAGTTTAAAGCCACTCTTACCTTAATTGCTCCTTGACTGATGCTAAGGACTACTGGTGGAACACTCAATTTATTTTTTTTCCTTTTCCACATGAACAAATAAGAGTGAAAATTCAATCCCAATGGGAATGCTGAGTTTAACTCTTTTATGTATAACAGTGCAGAAAGAATCAGGAAAAAAATGAAAACATGTAATTTTGGGTAATACTTTGCAGTTATTTATCCAGCCTGCTGTGAGAATAAGTTGATGTGCTCTTCCTGGGTGTTCCTAAATCTGCAAAGGTCGCACTCAGTGTTGGCATCTTTGGTATGCTGCTGTCCTGACACTAAAGAGAAAGGAGTAGACTTGGACTTTTTGCTGTGTTTAGCTTTGGTTGTAACTCATTCTTAAGTCAGAGGGTCAGCAGATTGCAACACGTTGATGATGTTCTTTGAACTTTGAGGAGTGCTCAAGATTTCAAATACCTGATAAAATCTAAATTGCTTAGTTACCTGCATCTGTCAGGGTCAAGAATCTACCTGATCACTAACTGAGTTGGGTGCTGGAGAACTCTGCTCTCCTCACAAGAGAATTACTTGGCTCACTTGCAGTCAACAGTTGATGAAATATTTACTTTTCCACTGCTGAGTGATGGAAGTTTTTTGGGGAAAAAGTTCAAGTAAGGCATATGTCCTGCTTCAGAATTGGAGCAAAATTAGAAATGCAAGACATTCTGCTCAAGGTGATTCTAGCAGATGTGTGTGATACCTTTTGACTGCCAAGCATGAGGCTATTCTTTTAGTCTGTTAGGTGGTCTACAAATGTCAGACATGGCCTGGAAGGACTCCTTTTGGATCAGACAGACTCTGTTTTGCTTTTAATGCCTTGAGAGTCCTATGTAGCTTCAAAATAATGCCAATTCTGTTTCCTTCATCTTAGAAAGTATGTACCACAGAAAGAATATACTTTTCTATACCTTCAACAGTAGTGAAAGAAATTGATAAAAAATGTCTGGGAGAAGAAAGCAGACATACTAGAAATGTTAAAAAATTTTATAGAAGAAATAAAAATATTCCACAAGCATTTCTTGAAAAATTTAAATAGGTAAAGCATACAAGTAGGATCTATTAGTGAAATAAAAACAGAGCTGAGTACTTCTTTAAAGTTGTATTAATATGTTTCAGTCATTAATTATTAGAGAAACTGACCATTTCAGAAGTGTATGTAACCCTGCCTCTTATGTCAGACTTGCCTTACGTAGCTCCTGATGACATGTTCCAGATGTGCCCAGAATAAGAGACCTATTTATTAAATATAAGGAACATTTCTATTAAAATTATAATCAGAAATACCTAAGAAACGCATACATTTTCCATAGTGCTTGGTAATGTACTTACATATCTTTGTGGTTTTTTTGCAGGGAAGCCACAAAAGCAGGCATCCCATCAAAACACACGGAGCACAGAATCACAGACACCTCTTGTATGAGCGCTGGGCACGGTGGGGAATGTGGTACAAATACCAACCTCTTGATTTAATCAGGTATGAGTACTTTGAAGATTTTCTCTGGTACAAAAAGCCTGGCAACAGTGTGCTAACTATATTCATAAATTCCTTGTGCTTTCCTATAACATTTATATATTCCCTATTATTGGGTAAGGCTGGAGTTCTTGAAGTTGCTTATTTTGGATCGTCTTTTGTAGGTTAATTTCAAATTAGTCTTCTTAAAGAACATGTAGTTCCAACTGCTCAAGATGTGTAGTGTGAAACTTAAAATACAAACCCATAATGTGGTCTGCTGATCAGAGACACTTGCCCCTTGTGAGAGCACCTTTGAAAGCGGACTCTTATCCACATGGACAGTCAGAGTTACCAGATGCAGAGGACTTAAAATGCAACCGAATTTTAACTTTTCCATGTGGATTTAAATAACTCTTATTTTACGTATTGGACTTAGTGTCATAGGTTACCAAATCTAAAATAGAGAAATACATATAATTTAAGTTAAATAATGATGGTGTTTGGGTTTCACAGTTTCCCCCTCTGACATTGCTTACCAGTAATTAATTTTCTTGCTGTAAGTTTTTATTCCTGATCTGAGTCATAACTGGTTATTGGTGGAGCTAAGCATGTGCCATGGGGCAATTTTATGCTGTTTCATCCTTGATTGACTTTCTGATCACTGCTATTTCATCTGTTCTGGCAATTGATACCCAAGTTTGGAAGAATTGAAGTTGTCTTCAGCTGGTGTTTTCAGAGCATTGTTTTCACTAATATAGTTGGAAATATGTGATATTATCTATGTATGATTATCTATCATAAATTATTTTAAATTGAATACTTAAGTCATACTAACTTACCTTATCCCTTTCGAGATTTTTTCTATCTGTGTACATCCATTTGTCTGTCTATCCTATGTTTAATAATGTTGCTACTTGTCCATCTACTTAGTCATTGCAACAACATCACAATTACAGAGGCACTGCAGTTATCTTGTTCTCATAAATCTGCAGTTAGTGTCACTAAAATATTATGCTAGCCTGAAAAAAAACTGTTTGGCAAAGTGACAATTTTACCAGAAACTTGTAATGATAGTTCCTTGTTAGAATTATTCTGCTACTGTGACAATAGAGATAAGTCAACAGAAAATTTAGTTTTAAACAATATATGTGTTTCCTTTTCATGTAGGCGATACTTTGGTGAAAAAATTGGACTGTATTTTGCCTGGCTGGGATGGTATACTGGAATGCTTATTCCTGCTGCCCTGGTTGGGCTCTTTGTTTTCCTCTATGGATTATTTACAATGGATTCCAGCCAAGTAAGGTAAAATTCTATTTAATAATATGTAACAGCCTATTGCTAATTAAGAACAGTCTGGCACAACTTAGATTGCTGTACTTTTAAATGTTTTGCAGATATGGTAATAATGTAAGAATGACCAAAATAGAATACTGAGGCTTTGAGTCAAGTATTTGCACATAGTACATTTGTTTTGCATCAAGTAAAATGTGTACTGCTGGCAGTGGCCATTCTTATCACTGCATTGCAGTGATTCCCACTAAGGAAAAACAGACCAGTCTGTAAGGACCAATGTTCATGTTGCTGATACTTCAGTAGTTGTTGATCTAATTAAGGCTAATGGGTGAAAAACCAGCCATATTCCCTCATTACCTTCATCTTCCTATAACTTCCAGAGTGTAGTACAGTTACTAAACTTCAAATTTGACCTATGTCTTTTTTTTTCCTTCTTCATTAATAGTGGCAAACTTGGACTCTAACAAAATTCTTATCTGTATCAATATAACTTGCAGCCAGGAGACTCAGCTTCAGGGAGATTGCAACCACATAAAATGAACCAAGTTTCAAGTTTCTCACTTCTGTGGTTTTGCTCTGGGAAGGGTTCTGTGTCAGTTTCGATATTGTGATGAGGGTGCTCAAGTGCTGACTGTACTTCTGGGAACTCTCTGAGGATCCACTGGACTGCAAAGTATTCCATTAGCTGTTATCAGGCAGTATCAGTATCTGTTCTCACAATTGCAGCTGTTGCTCCCAGCAGTTTGGGTGCTTAGGCTGTATGTATACTTGGAGTCAGATTTCATAAAAAATACTGTTTCTCTGGCTTTGAGCAAGACCATATTCAAGTTTTATCTAAGGAGTTTTCTTTAACTTCTGTTTCACAGTGAGTTATTATATTCTACAGTGCTGTAATGAACACTTTTTTTTAAGCTTGCTTTGTAGAGCAAACTCCTTAGAAACTGTACTAATTCAAACCACATCAAATACAGTTAAATGCAATGAACTTAACAGCCAGGAAATTATGCTATCTTTAAGATACTGTATTATGATTGTTTTTCATCATAAATGCCTTCAAAATGCAGCGGTTGTAAAGTCGAGGATTAGCCTATTCTTAGAGCACAGGGACCACAGCTGTTGAACTGTCAGTCTTGTATTTGTCACATGTACAATGACACAGTTCCAACAAAGGGGGAACAAGGGGCCATAATCTACTATTATCAAGGTATAGCTTAGTATTTCTTCCTTGTGGAAGAGAAAGGTGTGTCATTGGCAACTCCCCGAGAGAAAGAACAAAATTTCTAATAATTTCATTCTTTCAAACTGTAAGCTGTTACGTGTTTTTATACCATAGAATCATAGAATATCCTGGATTTGAAGGGATTCACAAGGATCATTGAAGTTCATCTCCTGGGTCTGCATAGGACTGCCCCAACAATCCCACCATGTGCCTGAGATCGTTGTTCACATTCTTTTTTTAACTCTGTCAATCTTGGTACTGTGACCACTTTCCTGGGGAATCTGTTCCAGTTCCCAGCTGCCCTGTGATTGAAAAACCTTTTTCTAACATCTAACCTACAGCTCCTCTGACACAGCTTCATGTGTTTGCTCTGGTCCTGTCACTGGTCACCAGAAGGAGAGGAAGCTGTTAGATTCCAGCTGTTAGACTGCTGTGAGATCTCCCCTCAGTCTCCTATTTACCAGGCTGAACGAGCCAAGTGATTTTAGCTGCTCCTCATATGGCTTCCCCTCTAGGCCTTTCACCATCTTTGTGGCCCTCTTTTGGAGACTGTCTTAAGAGCCTTCTATCTTTGTTGTATTGTGGCTCCCAAAACTGCAAACCATATTCAAGGTGAGGCTGCACCAGCACAGAATAGAACAGGCAATCACCTCCTGTGTGTCATATGCTTCTCCCAGGAAGACTTGCAGGTACGACTCATTTTTAACAGAAAAATGCAGCTATCTTCCTTGCTGAAGGTTGCAGGGTGTTGTAAATGAGCACAGAGGTAGGCTGGCTTTTGAGGGTTTCTGTCCTCAGTTTTTTCCTTTGGCTGCTGTTTAGTAGCTGCAGAGAAAACACAGACAAAGAACATTTGAGTGTGTTCCTGTGGGGCTGGTTCTATTGGGTCTCATCCTGAGGCACCTCAGTGTTGTGCTGTGCTACACAGAGTGCCAGTGTGCCTCAGGCCTCTGTGCTCTGTGTGATAAACAAGAGACTCAAAGTAAGGTAAACCCTCATATAAGCTCTGTATGCCTGCAAGGAAGGTGAATATTAATTTATTTATTATAGCTATCATTAGCCATTGTTAATTTCACAATGCTGTCAGAGGATGGGTTATGGCAGAAGTCCTAACCAGGTGCTCTGTGGCAGCCCCACATCCACAATCTGGATGTGTTAATTCTGTGGAGAAGGTGCTACCTGCCTTTGGTTGTGTGAATGTGTGCAGTCCTTCTGGTCAGTCATGGCACAGCACTGTCCTGTCAGTGCATTGCTACAACTTTGTTAGTAAGAGCAGCTGTGAAATGTGTGACTCACGTTGATTATGCCTGGCTGATAAAATATATGTAGACGTTTTCTGTATCACCTTGTGTACTTACGCATTTCTAAAGGCCACTGATAACAGATATTGTTGCCATGTCCTTGCCGGATTTTTTTTTACTTAGCCTGGAAGGTGTAAGTAAGGATTAGACAGGAACTTTGTACCTAGAGCAGACAGGTGTCATCCATTAGCAGGTAGATGGACTTGCACACCTGTTCTTATTCTTGCTGTAGTCTGGGATTGAGAGATTATTTATCTGGTGTTTCTGCATTCTTCTAAAGAAAATTCTAGATAAGCATCTGTAAGAGTACTAAAATCTATCATTTGATTTTAAGCACTTCAGCTACCGCCATACACAAATGCAGTGTTCAACAGCAATCTGGCAGAACCAGAACTGGATATGTTATCTTAAAAAAATGTAAACACAGGAAACCCAGTGGAAATTAGAAATTGAAACACAATTTTGGGGCATTATGGCAATGTCAGAACTGGCGTGTTGCCCCACATTCAATATTTTCTGCTGATCACTGTTTCATGTGAAACAGGTTTATCATGCCTGTTAAGAGGAATCCATGGCTGTTAGAATGTGTTGATTTAAGTATGAAAAATTCCATCACAAAGCCCTACTTTTTATCTGTCTTATGTACTACAAAATTTGAATTTAAGAGATGATCAAATCAGTTTTGCAGAAGGATACTTTCTTCACTGATGTGCCTTCACCCCTCAGATGCAGGAAGCTGCCGTCAGCCCACCTCTAGTGGCTGCAGGCAGGAAACTATATAATTTTCTTTTTTTTTTTCCCAGATATCCAGCACAGTTTCAATAGAGAAGTAATAAGCAAATACAGGAGTATGTACTGCCATAGAACCAAACCATGCCAGCCATAGGTTTTGTGCAGCAGTAATTTGAGGATGGTGCAGAATGATGTCACATCCAAGAATTAGTTTCTCTTATGACTTGTCCAAGTGCCTGCCTCTGCTCCATGCTCAGGGTCTGCTAGCAGTTGGCTATATATATATATACACGTATAAAAACATTATATAAATATATACTACAAGGAAGATATATATATGTATGCATCAGCCTATGTCAGGAGCCCATCTCAGCTCAGCACAGGGTCATGAGTCTCTGCCCTCTGTGTATAAGAAGATTCTCTCTGTAGCTCCTCTCTCTGGCTGCCATGGGCAAGTTGGAAATGGAGAAGAAGGAAGGGTACCACCAATAGGGAGCAAATATCCCCCTCTCATACTGACTTTTGCCTCTTGTCATAGTGTCTTTCTTCTTTGCTCAATTACATACAAATGATGCCATTTGACTGAGATCAATGTAGATGTACCAGTGTTGTCTATCCTCTGAATGTTTGGTATCTTATAACAACTTAGAAAAATAGGCTGTAAATGCATTTGAAGGGTACTGAGCAATTTTTTTTCTGTTTGAGCTATTTGGGAGAGAATTTGCTAGTGTGAGAAGTGTAACATGATGCCTAGAAATATTGTATGCTACTCTATGGCCCATAGTGTTCAGGTTCCTGATTTGGGATTAGACTTTCCAAGCCAAATACTCACTTTTAATTTATTTTATTTGCTCAGCTTTGTGGTGCACGCACTGTTGACAAACAGAGAATATAAATGGCGTAACTCAGAAAGCCTTGTGAATGCTAGAAGTGTTTTTATAACCTTTATTTTCGTCTCTCATACTAAAGCAAAGAGATCTGCGAGGCAAATGAAACCATTATGTGCCCTATGTGTGAACGCAATTGCACACTACAAAAACTCAACGAAAGCTGCATATATGCCAAGGTAATTATTGTGTTATTGCAATCAGGATGATTGTGGTTGTAAAATAGCTGCCCTTGTTTCTGCCAAGTTTCCTAAAAATCATGTTGTTTCTCTACAGATATTGTTTTCAGCTTTTGCAATGCATCTTTCTAATAAGGGAGTGCTCTAAAGTGATCTGGGGTTTTTATAAAATTCCTTTCTGTGAGAATTTCCTTATAAATAAATGAATATTATTTTCATCAACTTATTAATTCCTCTGTGAGGACTTCATAATTAAAATTTTTGTAAGATTTTTTTTACTCTTCTCTGTAACTATCTTGTTACTCTGTTTCCTTTGCTTACTTTCTATTTGAATTTTTGCTCCTGCTTTTGCTCCTGCTCCTGTCAAACTAATGTGAAGATTTTATACAATTAAATATTTTGCTGCAAGAATCTATTCTTCAAACTTAAATAATCACACCAGAAATTGCAAAATACCTAGGTAGAACAACAAAATGGAATCAAGAGACAGTAAGTATGTAGATGGAGAAAAGTGAAGAGGTTTTTTAGCTTATAAAAACCTTAAAATAGAAATGGTTGAGATTAGGTTTGACCTACCATATGACAAGAATTCTGGATAAAATTTTAGTCTGTCTGGACATGGACAAAACAGCTCAGTGTCTGTGAAACAAAATGACGGGTGATGCGTGAAGTAATAGTCTGGAACAGCAGATTTCAAATTACCCTGGCAGTCAGAATGTGACATTGACAAACCTTGGTAGAAGAAACATGCTAGTAGGACTAGTTATGAGAAAGCTTAGCTTTTGGTTTCTGATGCCAGTTATGTACTCTGGGACTATTTGGGGCAAAAGATGAGATGGCACGATTATTTTTTCCTGATACGTTCATTTTTTTTTCAGGTTACACATTTGTTTGATAACGGAGGGACTGTCTTCTTTGCAATTTTCATGGCAATTTGGGGTAAGTACATTTTTCCTGGTTTGTTTTTTGTTTTGGTTTTTTGTTTGTTTTTTTTTTTTTCACCTGACCTTTTTATATGATTACTTAACAAAGGAGATTATAGCTCTGGATAAAAGTTAAAGAAGGATTATTATTTTGCCCTATAAACAATTTTTTTTTCATTTTCATTAACTTAGACTTCCATGCTAGTATTTTCTTTAGGGTCTTATATGTCTTTAAGCCTGAATTTTATATTATTTAGGACAAAGTCCTTTTAGAGGAAAACATGTGGGTTGTGTTACTGATCTTGCGCCAATATCAAAAACACATCTTGTAGAGGATTCTTACCGAATAAATGAGAATGGTTTTATGGAAACTAATTAGAAGAAGGTATAGGAAATGTGTGAGTTTAAGTGCTTACTGCAGTTAAGGTGTTTCCATTGAAATTCTCAGTCTGAATCTCTTGTTATGTTCCCACTGCCATTGCACACATTGTGTTGTGCAGCACAAAGCCAAACAGGGGTGCATCCACAGAGGACACTGCTGAGCAGGAGTTACAAAAACAGTCCTGACTCTCAGTGTAATAGTGCCATAAAAGACAGATTTAATGGGCCCAGCATTAAATCCTCAGTAGAATTAGCTTTCACTGCAGCTAAGAGGATTTTGCTGCTGGGAAATAGGGAAAATAGCCCTAGTTCACATACACAGAGGTGTCTGCATTCAAGCCAGAGTTTCACAGTTTTGAATGAAATGGTACACAACATCTTTATTCATATAATGTGTATGAATAAGTATTAATGACTCTAACTTAAAGTAAGAACAAATGTCACAGATTTTGGAGGCTGGCATGGTAAAAGCAAGTAACAATGCACAAACAACAGCAAAACATCAAATAGTTACATGGAGAACAGAAGCACATCCTCATATGTGCAAAAATTATGATTGGGTTGTTAAAAATTGACATCCTATAACTAACAGGCACACTTTGAATAATTTCCTCACTCATGCTTCTTCATTTACTGCTGATCTTGCTATTACTGTCTTCCAATTATTAATTATTACTTGGTGAAATTCCTAAAATACAGTGCATTTAATTATATAGTTAGCAGTGCAGACAACAGAGATAGCTTCTTAGCATCTCTTCATCTCTAAATTCTCCTTCAAGAGAGCTCCTTCCATTTTCATCTGAGGCCAAGATTCAAGTGTGACGAGGAATTTGCTTGTATGACACTGCTTTACCACAGGGAAGATGGTATTATATGGGCTAAGGAATGTGAAAGCTGACCATTACATATTTTTTCATTTCAAGCATCAGACTGATATTCTCGTGTAATATAGCTGAATCTGTCTCAGATTTTCAGTCTGCTACCAAACATGCTGCATTCTATGTACTACCAAACATGCTGCATATGTTAGAAATCAGGTCCTGGCACTGATGGGACATAATGCTGTTTTTATGACTGAACTCAAAAAAAAAAGGCAAAAATGCATATATGGGCTGAAATCTTTGATATTTAAAATAAATACCTGTTTTGCTCATATTCAGTTTGACTGACATAGTTTCTCTCTGGGGTGTATGTGCATGTAATTTACTCACATATTGAATAAAACCTCATGGCATCATTCACAGACAGTGAGATAATTCCATTCCATCAGTGTGATCCACAGTCTCCACACTAATTAAAGTGTTTTAGCAGAGCATAATAACCAGGACATATCCCTCATGGGTAGTTTTCTCTGCACTTTATTTTGTTTATTCTGTGCCTTTACAATTGTTTCTTTTACATATTCTTTCTTTCTATTTAGACACGTCTGGTAATTGCAAGCAGATCAGCTATGCAATTATTTGCTTTTTGTTGCCATAATTTTACTCTTTAGCTAGGCAGAACTGGACCATGCTTTTTGGGGTACCTATATATGTAGGTATAGGATATATATATCCTTTCCTCTCTTGTTAAGTATTTCTTCTATCTAATCTGTACTGATATGTTTTAAATGATTTCTACAGATCTAGCCTGCAATTCAGACAACAGATCTGTTTGACAGAGGAATAGAAGCTTGTCATCTTTTTTCCCATTGATAGTGATAGTAAATCAGTGTCATCTAGTCAAAGGTTAGATGTAGCTCATTTTACTCAGTAATTCCATTCTCCCCAGCAAACCTCAAGTAATCCAAACTAAATAATCCAAGTAAACCTAATCAATCTTGGCATATTCACTGAAGAAGGTACAGATGTAAATCTGGGAAAATAATGACCTGAGTCATTTTTCAGATAGAAATTATATTAGGATGGAATAGTTTCACTTCAGTAATGGCTGTAAGGTAACAATGGCCAGCATGTTCTTGAAAAAATGAAAGGGATGTAGGTAACAGGCAGGAATATAATCTGAAGCAAGCATTGCAATGAGGGGTGGGATGGTGTGTTGTCAGCAGTTGGAATGCCATCAGATGGGCACCCTGCATTGTCTTCCTCTGTCTTGTCTGCTGTGAGGCAGCTCTGACTCTTCTCATATGGTTCAAGGGAGTTGTCTTAGTGAAGAACTGAGGGAATAACATAATTTCTTTTTTTATATATGGCTTGAAAGATTTGAATCACTATCTGCTGGGTACCTCAGTTTAATTCAGCAGTCCCTCACATGTATCACATGTAAGTCCAGTTAACTGCTTTCTGACATAGGGGAGACAAAGAGATGAATGCCCCGATTCATTATTTTTGAAGATAACCCGTGTCCTTCTAGCAACACCCATTCAGCACTCCCATGGGTGGTCAGCTTTCAAAGCTGCTTCCTAATCTGATGTTCTGGCAGCTTTCAGCTCTTGCTTTTAAGCTGGAAAGGGCATATTGCCAAAATTTATTTTGATTTTATTTTCTATGAGAAAAAAGGTGTGTTTGGCCTCTCAGTAATTGTTTAAATATTTAAAAATAAGGACCAGAAACATGATACGGATGTTTGGACTGTGATTGCACTTCAGTACGCATTTTTACATACTCGCAGAGAAGACAAAAGCAGTCATGTTTTTAAACCTCTTAAAAATAGTTTTACTTCTGAAAACAGATGTAGCTTCATCCCTAATTTTGTAACTGACATTGGATGACTAAAGAGTTTAGATTTTCTTCGGTTTGGGAGAGCTTTTTGTGCTATAGTTTTAAATTTGCCCACAATTCTTTGAACATGTTCACTGATACTAGATACTATTTTCCTGATGTTTCAGAGCTTAAAGAAAGAACTTGCAAGGAGGAGATACAGAGTTAAGAGACATATTGGTTAAGCTAAAATTTTTAAATAATAAATTAATGTCAGCTGAAAGCTAGTTTGGCTGGAGTCAATGATATCCTAATAATTCAGTAAGATGATAATTTAAGCAGCCCTGTGCAGAAATAAGGAACACTTATGCAAAACACTGTTGGGATTCATAAAATTAGAGGGTTTTGAGAAAGTGGTTAAAAAGGCAGGCTTCAGACAGCAGACTTGTGAACATTGCTAATACAGCAAAAAGTTTTCTAAGCAGTACAGCAGACGTGAGAAATAGCACAATAGACTTTTGTAATGTGTCTTCATAGGTTGCAACAAGGTTATTTAATGTACACCTTTATAAGGTTAGTATGAATGAGTCTCTGTGCTTTGTCTCTCATGAACGAGCCATTGTGTTAGAAAATAAGTCTTTATTGTGTTAACTACTATTACATGTGTTTCATATGATTGGATAGAATTTTTGTCAATATGTTTTGCTCTGTGTGATTGGCTGAAACCTAGGCTAAGATAGCTTTATGCTATGATGTAATGTAACACCCCCTTTGCATTCCCTTTGGATCAGAGAGCTGTTAACATAATCTGTCTCCATTGTCCTAACAATGTACTGAGACTGATGTGCTGAATAAATAGCTCATGACACTGGTTCGGATTGCCCCGTCTCCGTTCGTGTCTGTATATAGCTGCCGCAGCAAACGCTTGTGCTGTTCCTTACCTGGGTCACTCCTTGTGTCAGCATAGGAAGTTTTCTGTGGGAAATAGGAATTTTCTGGGGGAAAATGACTCGGGCCTCTTTGTAGCACATATAAAATATCCAACCAGGCCAATTAATACAGATCCCAAAATGCTCCTGCAGAGATGCCAGCTATTACTTCTTCTTTGTTGTTTTTGTCTGTGAGAAAAAGAAGCAAAGATTAAACAGTTGACGGGAATAATAAATCTATAAAACCAGTGAGTGAGACTTTCAGCAAGGGTCTGAAACACTTTACAAGCTATAAGTAAACCAGCCTATCTGCAGAAACTGTCTGCCTTTGTAAATGAAAACAGACATCTCCATCCTTGAAGTTTGGAGGAATAAAGGGGATTTAGGAAAAATAAAAAAAGCTGCTAAATGAGTTTTTAATCAAATACAAAGGTTTCAGGATTAATTACAGAATCACAACTATTTTTTAATTAAACAAAAAAACAGTAATCATTCTTTGAATGGAATTATTTGTAAGCATTTAAGACAGCAGTTAAAATTGCAGCCTCTGAATTTCAGTTTCTATGTATGCAAAGTTAAAAATTCAGTAATGCTTCATGCACCTGGTTAATTAGCAGAATAAATGCATTTCTTCAAGATTTTCCCTCAAATTTCATAAAACCTTTCTTCACGATACTCAGTTTTTCTTGGAAGTGAACACGCTCTCCAACTCTCATTCCTTTTCAGTTGATGCTAGCTAAAAAAATCAGGTGCCTTGTAATTATTAGCTATATATTAACTGTGATGGGAAACTTGAAAGTCTGATGATCCTTCAGTTCTTAGTACAAACTGTACTTTCAGTCCTGTGTTAAAAGCTTGAAAGCTAATTAATGCAAAAAATTACTGTGCCTTTCTAATCTTTTCTTTTTCTGAAGACCTGATTCAGAATAGCAGAAAAGTGCAATGACAATTTTATGTTCCATTGTTTTCCCACGCATACTTAACTTGGTAATTAAGCGCACAATGAGTAATTCCTTTGGAACTTTGTTTATAAGAAGTCATCTTTGGTCACAAAAATTTCTGAACTT